GTTTTGGGCTGGACTAGGAGTAGGAACACTTGAAGACTGAGAAACTGGTAAATATTTGGAAGAACATTCAAAAGATGCTTTCAGTTTTTCAAGATCAGAAGACACAAATTTAGGGCAGCCTGGAACCTGCAGTCCGCTTTTTTGAGCTTCCTCTGGTGAAGTACCTTTTTGTGATTCTAAAAATGGTCTTCCAAAAAATGTTTCTTTTCGAGGTGAAACTTTTGTGGTTTCTTCAATGTCTCTGTCAACACAGGTAGGGGTTTTTTCAAGGGGAACTTTAGTGCTGGCCGTCTGCCAGTCAAAATGATCATTTTCCACAAGCTCTGCATCAATTTCAAACAAAAGAGTTTTTCCTGTACCAGCGTCACAGTCGTTGCCACCGCTTGCCGTGCCATCCTGAAAACTGGAGCTTGGCGCCATCTCAGGTAGCCTCCCATCACTCTGCCAATCTGTCTCGAGTTTGATGGCTGCGGACAGGGGAGGTAACTCTGGCAAGTTGTCATTTCCGTGAATTAACTCCTCCTTGGTGGTCTCAAGCCCTACCACGAGTTTTGAAGAGTTTAATGGCTGCTGAGCTGATTTCATTTGGGTCAGGTCGACAAACACCGTCATCACATTGTCCATCTCTGACTGGACACCGTTTAGCTCAACCATCATGTCCAACACATCAACATCACCATCATCATCCTCTTCCTTGTCTTTCACCAAAAAGGGGCATGAGATCTGTTCATGGCAACTTGGCGCCCTTTTCAGTTTGGAGCGATTGCGCTTCATCTGTCGAAACCATCTGCGTTTCAGCCGCCTGCGTTCTTTGGCCATGGTGGTCTTGAAAGAGTTGGACCCATCGGAAGAGAACCTGAAAGGATCGCTTCTGTCTGAATCTCTGGTTAGAGATGAGCAGCAGCTGTTGCCTGACCCAGAATCTGAGCCATCCTGAGATTCCATTTTGATATTATCACAACCGTACGCTGAAACCTTGCTTTCCTCCGTCATCTCGTATGAATCGGTTTTTCTACTTATGTTGTGATTGGCTTCTGATTCAGCAGAGCCCATTCTCTTTCTCTTATGATTTCGACACCCAAACTTGTCCCTGCGGTGAACACCTCCGTCTTTGTGCTGAGAATTATCCCTCGTCACCTGCGTGCGCACCGAGTCCAACTCTGTTTTTGAGTCCTTGTCAATTATGATATTTTGCACGTCCACATCCATCCCCTGCTTGATGTGCACCTGTAGGTGTCTCTGCAGGTAGTGCTTGGTGGCGAATGCCTTGTGGCAGATGTAGCACTGGAAACACTTGACATTTGTGTGGAGTCGTAAATGATTAAGTAATTTGTAGCGGAAATGAAATGCTTTACTGCATAGGTGGCACTGCAAAAAAAAAAAAAGAAAGAAAAAAAAAAGGAAAGAAAATAAAGGTAAATAAATCTTAAGAATAATGAAGTTTCTTAAAGTTATGACCATAAGTGGACAAACAAACATGCATAAGTCGTAAATGATTAAGTAATTTGGAGCGGAAATGAAATGCTTTACTGCAAAGGTGGCACTGCAAAAAAAAAAAAAGAAAGAAAAAAAAAAGGAAAGAAAATAAAGGTAAATAAATCTTAAGAATAATGAAGTTTCTTAAAGTTATGACCATAAGTGGACAAACAAACATGCATGGGATTTTTCAATTCATGTGATCGAACAAATTCTATGACTTTATTCTTTTCCTGCCATTGGACTGAAAACAAAATATTCATAGTGATAGTGCTGGGGAGACACAAACATCAATATCTTCAAAAATTACAGTTTGATAGCATTGATATTAATGGAAATAGATAATAGGCCTATAGTCTGATAGCATTGATATTGATAATAATGGAAATAGATATATAGGCCTATAGTCTGATAGTGTTGATATTTGTATTAATGAAAATAGATATCTAGGCCTATAGCCTGATAGCGTTGATATTGGTATTAATGGAAATAGATATATGGGCCTATATAGTCTGATAGCATTGATATTGATATCAATGGAAATAGATATATGGGCCTATAGTCTGATAGCATTGATATTTGTATTAATGAAAATAGAAATATATGGTCTGATGGCATTGATGTGGTATTAATGGAAATAGAAATATAAAATTCAAAAAATGAAATATATAACATAAAGTCATGATATGAGATTGCTTTGAGAAATTTCCAACTAAACAATGAAAGAAAATTAAGGTTTGTTGTACCTTGAATATGTCTCCCTCTCCTTGAACTGGCTGCTTTTCACCCTGCTGCTCTGGGTTTGTAGTTGCAGTATTCTTTCCAGTGCCAGTTTCAGTCAGTTTGGCATCTTGTGCCAGATGCAGTCTAACATGCTGAATGAGCTGAATCTGTAAGGCACATGAAACAAAAAAACTGTCTTCAAACATGATAATAATAATAATACAGTGGTCTTATATAAGGCTTCACATAAAAATTTGCAACAAAAAAAAAATACATGACATTCAAAAGTTACATAAATATATTAATTTAAAAACAGCCTTATAAAAATAGTCACCTAGCCCACTCCAGAATTATTTACATGTCTAGCCATGGACGGCACCCAGCAGCATTGAGCATCGTTTATCGGTCGGAGTGGGGTGAGGATCAGTCAGGATAGTACAGTTTGAAAAGATGTGTCTTGAGTGCAGTTTTGAAGGCATAGATTGTCGGTATATTATGGATATGTGTAATGGGAGAGAATCCCATTGTTTGGGGGCACATAAAGAGAAAGATCAGCTTATGTTTTGGGCACATAAAGAGAAAGATCAGCTTATGTTTTAGTGCGTGTCATGGGAAAAAAAATAATATGCATTTCTGCAGAGGAACAAAGCTGTCAAAAGGCATGAATAGATAAAAAAAAAAAGAAGTTCACTTAGGGAGGAAGGGCAGAAATCAGAGAAAAAGTTGTGACAGAGAACAGACAGTTTGTAATCAATGCGTGCTTGTAAAGGGAGCTAATGAAGTGAGTGGAATAGTGGAGTGACGTGATCACATAATTTTGCCTTTAGAGTAACCTAGCAACAGAGTTTTGAACCTTTTGCAGTTTTCCTATGAAGTGTTTTGGTGAACCTGACACTGACAGAAGAGAGATGCAATAGTCCAGACAAGAGAGAGCAAGAGAGCACAGACTAAAGTTTTTGTTGCGCTAACTGTGAAATGCCGATGGAGTGGCAGATGGAGCTGATCACATCTTAAAGAGAGAACTTATTTTATTTCATTTTTTATTACTATAACTTTGTGACCAAAACGAGATAACAATTTTCCATAAGTTACACATTTTGATACAGCTCTTTTGTCTTGACTTATTTTGTCACTACCCTGTAGAGTAATCATCAAGTACTTTGTTATAAAGTTACTTGTCACAATGCATGTAGCAGAGTTCTTTTCATGCTCATTATTCAAGAGAGTTTTGAAACAGAAACTAGGCCCAGACATGATTTATGAAACAGAAACTAGGCCCAGACATGATTTATGAAACAGAAATGAGGCCCAGACATGATTTATGAAACAGAAACTAGGCCCAGACATAATTTATGAAACAGAACTAGGCCCAGACATGATTTAGGAAACAGAAACTAGGCCCAGACATGATTTATGAAACAGAAACTAGGACCAGACATGATTTATGAAACAGAAACTAGGACCAGACATGAAACAAATCAAATAACAGAGAAACAAGCTTAACACATCCCAGGGCAACTGTGGTGGTGGTGGATAGAACATGCCTTGAAGGCCCCAACTGTGGTGGTGGTGGACAGAACATGCCTTGAAGGCCCCAACTGTGGTGGTGGTGGATAGAACATGCCTTGAAGGCCCCAACTGTGGTGGTGGTGGATAGAACATGCCTTGAAGGCCCCAAACAACAACAATTAATGAAGCTCACACTCAAAATTAAAACTGTGTTACAATATTTTTCAAAACTACTAATTCAATAATGTCCAAGTCTACTTTTAATTAATGAAGCAAGGTAAAAATGGAATTTATTCTGGATGTAATAGATGAGGATTTAGTTTTTCTTTTCAAATGCACCATACAGATTGCTAAAGTTTAAATAAACAGTTAATTATAGTTCATTTACAAATAGTTTATCTTTCTGATAAAACTATAAAAAAAAACTTTTAAAGTAAATATTAACTAATTTTAATAATTTGACTTTTATACTATTTGAATTGGCACATATACAAAGGCAGTGTCCACAGTCCTTTCGTAACTATTGGCTATAAAGCAGTGGTCAGCAAACTGGGGTAAATGTCCTCAAAATGAGGTAAAAATGGAATTTTTTTTGGGGGGTGATGAGGGCTCAATAGACATAAATTCTAAATAATTTTTTTCTGGCAACACTGCATCTGACCTGTGTAATAGCCAAACGCACCCAATGACTTGTGGTTTATAGTCGCTCGGCAGCTAGCGCTCATGTCTAGTCTTGCATATTTCATTTTTTCTCGTCACCTATTTTTATCTTATGCTCAGTGGTGTCACTAGAATTGTTTTTACCAAATGCGGTAAACTAAAGGTGTCACACCATCCAGGCTTCTCCATGGACCTCCTACGAGTCAGCCTGCTCCGTATGGCAGGCTGCTCTGGTAGTACACTACTCTGGTGACAGGTGTCAGCCTGCTCTTATATTAAACTTAGATGTGTTTTTTTTTTTTAAACTGACTAGATTGAGCTCTGTCAAAGTAACTAATTTTCATTTGGTGTCATCCCCTGCTAAGGTGTCATCCTTCGCTAAATTTGATTTCGTTTCATCGTAAGGATTTTATTAATTTATTTTATCGAACTTATTTGGCACTCTAATATTTATATTTCTCCATATAAATAGATTCTATAACCGTTTTGAATTCAAATAGTCTATGATTTTCTTCCTTTAAAATCGCGGGGTAAAGTTGGCGAAAAAAATTTATCTTAAGGTAATGGCTAAAAAATGTTGCAAACTCGTGCTATAAAGAATTCTTTGCCATCTAAGAATAATATACAACTTTTTAAATAATAAATTTCCAAACCTTTAGTCTGAATGCCTTCCCACATTGACTGCATTTATACGGGAAATCTTCAACATGAGCCTTTAGATGTTTGGTCAACTCCAGAGAACAAGAGAAAGTTTCTCCGCACACTGGGCATGAGTGCAATCGTTCACTGGCATGCATCAGGCTGTGGTTGTCCAGTTCTTGTTTCGTCATGAATCCCATTTTACAAGTCCCACATGTTGATTTGTCATGCTTGTCTTCATGAACAAGAGCTCTGTGACGATCCAGGTCTTCTGAATCTTTGAATGACTTATTGCATTTCTTGCAGTATGGCTTACCCTTGGAGGAAAGGATTTATTACCGTTAAAAATAAAACTACTTAAAAGAAAATCAAAAAAGCAAAAATGTAGAAATTTATAAACATTACGTTATAAAATTTGAAGATTTTAATCTTTGTTGAGTAGGAATTATTCAGACTATTTTGAGAAAATGTATTTATGGTATTTTGTGATCCTGCATAAATCAGTACTTTTCAGCCTATGATTTATGGCTGCATTATTAAATCGGCACAAGTGTTTAACTTGTTAACAATACTAATACCTGAACAATCTTTTCTTTTATAGAATACAAATACTTATAGTACTATGTCTAAGTTGGTTGTTTGTTCTAAGAAATGTGGCCCTAGATGTCAGAAATAGGTTGGAAATCACTGATCTAAATAACATTGTTTTTAGTTTATGTCACTGTCATAATAATAATATTCTAACCTTTCTGTGCTTAGTTGGCGATTTCATCTCTATTTCTTGCTTTATTTCTGAGGTTGAGTCTTGGAGCGAAGTACTGGAATGCTCATCTTCTAAAAAAACTTTTCGGGTCGACAGCTTGAATCTTTTCACAGGTAATTCATCTTCAAAGTTCACATCACATTGCTGTTTGTCAAATGAATCTCTCTTATCTTGATTTTTCAAAGGTTCACTATCCTTTTGCACCTGTAGCTTTCTAATACTTTCTGAAACTTTATCAGGATACAACTCATACTCTTGCAAAGGTTCAATATATTTGGGTTTTTCAATAGAGTAATGAGCAAATTTTTTCATGTGAATTTTTAACTTTTTGCTAGTGTAGAATAGTTCATTGCAGGCCGAGCAGCAGAATGCATGAATTCTTCTTTCAGTTGCTCTATCATGATTTCTACAGAAATAAACTTTACACATTTTGCACCAAAGTTTGGTCATTTCCATTTTGATTTGAATACGGCAATGATGATTTAAATCTGCAGCTGTTGCAAACTCCATGTAACATGTCTTGCAAACAAAGTTGGTAGGCTCTGAATGGGAGAGTATGTGAGATTTTAAGTGATGGCTTTGTGCAAACATTTTTGGACAAAGGTCACACATAAACAAAGGATCTCCATCATGTGTCCGCATATGGGATGCCAAACTTGACTCATGTAAATACTCCTTGCCACATTCATTACAAGTAAGCATAGACTCCCCACTATGTGCAAGTTCATGGTTCAGTTTGTCTTTTCTTCTAGTGAATATTTTATCACAAATTTTACAAAAATAAACCAACTGTCCATCAATTGTTAATGTTTTTATTTTTACTTTTGGCTTATAATTATATGGTTTCTTTCCATTTTTCAGATTGCAACTTTGTTCATTTGCATCTGTTTTTTGAGAATCATCAGAAGAAGAGTCGATTTCGTTTTTTTTCCCATTGATTAAAAGATTAACATCATCAGTATTATCCTCAATTTCATTTTCAGAGTTTTCATTACTGTCAGTGTGATTATAATGTGAGCTGTAGTCTGGATCACAAATGTCTGTTACATCCAAGACATTTGGCTTTGACATGATTAAAAAATATACTCCTTTTTTGTTGATTCAGATCATGTCTTCTCCTGATAATAAGTCTCTAATCAAACTAGTTTTAATTCCTTGACCTTGCCTAATTTATGCGATAAAAATGAAGCAGCACAATTAGAGGGAATTGTGGATCCTTTTTTTAACTACCTACCAGTTCACTTAGCTGGTTATAACTAACCTTATTATTTATTTATAACTTAATAAATATATATTTATAACATCTAAGTCCTTGATTTCAAAGGGTTCATAATTAATCCATTTTATGGCCATGGCTTTAAAATTTAAACTAGTCTAGTCTTAACCGACTTCTAGTATGACAGTATGATATATGAGCATTTTATGAGCTTGGTTCTGGAGTTAATTCCTGAGCATACCAGCATGTGTTAATAAAATAAGGCAAAAGATCTCCTGGATGAAAGTACAGGTTAAGGTAGTTATCTTGGTTCTTAAGCTAGAATATTTCTTGACATCATTATGATTATCATCGTCATCACATTCATGATTCACTACATTCCGTGATCGTGCGAAATATCTGGATGATCACACCTAAAAATAATTTAGAAAAAAAAAGTCCATTAAACAACATTATTCAATTAAAATAGGATTTAGCTCAAACAAATTTTAAACGGCTAAGGCTTAAATTAGAAAACCCAACTAGATGTAAAGAAAGACTAGGAGTACTAAGAATAAGCTTATCAAAATTTATACATAAAAGCTGCCATTTTGACGCCAAAATATCACGTGATAGCAACCACATGATATGCAGCGAGATTTTTTGAGACTATCGTGTAAAAGTTCTTAATATATTAAATAAAGTTAAATTACATAACATACGTTGGTCAATAACTCTTAGCTTTTTTTATCATCATTTCTTAACACAAAATCATTTCAAGATTCAAGATGCATTTAGTTTATAAAGCGCTAAACCCACTTCCGTCAGCTTGGAGTTCAGTCTAATTGACAAGAAGAAACGAATAAGTATCGATATGGAGTTTTGTCAAACGTTTAGGAATGTCGTAAAACTGTGACCACATTCCTTCATTAGGCCATAGAGCAGTTTTAACCCCTCTGTGAATACGAAGTGATTAAAAAAACACGAGGGTTTCGAACCATTCACAGTCACATTTTTTTTTTATTTTTTTTTTTCATAAGTGGGGCAGGTTTGGAGGCCCACCTGTTATATTACAGTCACTTAGACAAGAAACTAAAGCTGGCACTGGAAAAATCATAATTGAAGGCAGCTTAGGGTCATCCATAAATGCCGTCACGATATGTTTTTTTAAATTTATTGTAGATGAATAAATATGTCAAATGTCTAAGAATTTGGACGGCAATTATCAATAACACGAACAGTTTAAAATGATCTATTTTATTGAAGCCTAAAAAAAACACCTAATAACTTGTTTTCTAAAACGGTGTCAAATATTCACACATAGACAAAATATATGCTAAGTTTATTATTTATAAGAAGGGGAAAATAATGTTATAGTTAATTTTACTGAGACAATAATTAATATAACAATAAATGCAAAATATGTAAAACTTCTTTTCTTCTAGTAAGCAAAATTAAAAGTATACTTTTTTCCTTTGTAAGAACTTAAGTCAGACATTTTGCATCGTGATTAATTTTGTTTTTCGATTTCGTTAATCATTTTAAAAATAAGAAGAGTCATACATGTCATATGGTTTATAATTAATCTCTTTAAAAGTATGAGTTTAAATAATGGAAAGACTTCAAAATACGTGAATTACTATTATAGCATTATAAAATAGGTATAAAAAATAATAATTTACATAATACATGTTAACTGTTATTTATTATTTCTATATAAGTTAGTCAATCTTCCTAACAGTTTCCTAAATGGGCTTTCACTTCTAATGTATATGTTTCCATGAAAAATGAACTTATTAATGTTATTTCCCCTGATATAAATATTTAATATGCCTTAGAAAAATGTAGTATCTGCGATCATTTTCTGTATTTAAATTAACCCAGAATCAGCGCCATCTTTCTTTTAGGCAGTTGATAGTGTGATTCACCACTTATTCATTTTAGACGCCGGAGAAATTGAATTTTAATTCATATTTCATTCATTGTTATTATCAACAGATATTATGGCCCGTGACAGTAGAATATATGTTGGAAATTTACCTCCTGACATCAGAACTCGAGATATTGAAGATTTATTTTACAAATACGGAAAAATAACTTTCATCGATTTAAAAAATAGACGCGGACCTCCATTCGCTTTTGTGGAGTTTGAAGATCCCAGGTAAGCCGCTTCACGATGAACTGAAAATTGTTGATCAATATCAATTGTTAAAGAACAGAAGACAGTTAATATATGCATTCTTTTGTACACATTGCTAAGCCCATGCAACTGTTTCATGTCAATTCGATACCTGGTGTCAGTGGTGAGTTGTGGGAAAGTGCCGGCAAATGTAATTTACCGGTACTTGACACTTGTACTTCAAGTTAAAGTGACAGTCTTTGACGTTGGTCACTGAGTAAATTTATATAAATATTTTTTTTAAAAATATAGAACGTAGGCTAAATATGAAATTGTCTTATTAATTTTCACCTTTACCAAGAAATGCCAAGTTTGATGATTCCATGCAGTAAAACTAGTAATAGTAAAGTATTAAAAAAAAGGGACCAGTCATTATCACTTTTTAATCTTGCTGCATAACCACAGATTATCACGGGTTCTTTCTACATAGCTTATCTCTGAGGGATACAATAAAGTTTTTACTGTTGCCAAGCATAAAATATTAAGCAACCAGATGGGTGGGCACAAAAATAAAATACATCGTTTATCAAGTTCGACCATGCAAAAACACTTCTGAGAGAGAGCTGCACTGGCTGCCGGTGCGTGTTCGCATGGAGTACAAAATCGCAACGTTGTGCTACCGCTGCTTACATGACCTGGCGCCGTCCTATCTGAAAGAGCTGCTTACGCCTTATGTACCCACTAGAGAGCTCCGCTCATCCGATAGTGGCAAACTCTCGACACCACGTGTTTGCCTTGAGACTTACGGAAAACGCACTTTCGCATTTGCTGGTCCAACAATTTGGAACGCCCTTCCTGTCGATCTCAGAAACAACCAGACACTGGATTCCTTTAAAACCAATTTAAAGACACACCTATTTCGCAAACACCTTCTGGGATGATTGTCAACCTTATTTTCCAGTTAATGCATAGTGGCTGTGTTGCTTGGGGTTGAAATGGCTAGAAAGACTTTGCAATTGTATGCTAGTAATTAGTTTTTGTAGTGTTGCGTTTGTTTTAAATGTGTTAAATTATAGATTTGTATTTTTTTGACTTTGTACCGCGCTTCGAGCCTTTGGGGATGAAGCGTGTTTTTGAAATGAACTTTATTATTATTATTATTATACTATAAAAATGTAGGCTTATCTCATTGTAATTCTACTTTACTTTATATGCCTGTTCATTTTAAATGTTTTTTTTTTTATAAACATTTTTTGTTCCAGAGATGCAGAGGATTCTGTTCGACAAAGAGATGGATATAATTATGATGGCTACACATTACGTGTTGAGTTTCCTAGAGGCAGTGGAGCACCTGGTGGTGGGGGGCTTAGAGGTGGAGGAGGAGGTGGTGGTGGTGGTGGAGGGGGTTTCAGGGGAAGGGGTGGGTATAGTGGAGCAGGACGAGGTGGCCCACCTTCAAGGAGAACACAGTACAGAGTATTAGTTTCAGGTAAACTTATGAACCATACTCTCTGAAATCTCGCCATCATATGGTAGCATCCCTTAGTTTTAAGTCTCTTAAGTTGTATTACTTGTATTGGCATAAAAATAAACTTTATATCAAAATTGAAAATATTTTTTAAATTTAAAAAAAAAAATTCTGTAGGTTTACTGGAGTGAATAAAAAATTTCCATATTTACTTACCTCTAATTGTCAGATGAAAATATGGGTCGTTTGAGAACAAGAATTAATTTTTCACTAGCTTAACATTTATGGAAATAATCTAGTCCAAGACTTAATTTACTGTACTGGTGATTGATAGGTTTATATATGAACAAAAAAATTATTATATTTGTTAACCTTTTCTTAAATTTATTATTATAATTATATTTTCTCAGAAACATTTTGATGCTGAATACAGACCTGTTTACCTTAAAACTCTTAAAATCGTACTATGTCATCACAAAATCGTTCAATGCGTTATCTTAATAGTAAAAAAAAACATGCAGTATATATAATGTATAAACCTCAAAATCGTACATTGTACACCAAAATCATACGAGTAAACAGGTCTGTGAATAGAAAATTTGGGGGTAAATTTATAGCTATTTTGTGAGTTTATTTTTTTTTTCAAGAACAAACATTTGTATTTTATTTAAGTACAACACTTAAAAGCCACATTTGACTTTATGATAAGTTTGAATTTTTCAGGCCTGCCACCAAGTGGAAGTTGGCAAGATCTAAAAGATCACATGAGGGAAGCTGGTGACGTGTGCTATGCTGATGTCTTCAAAGACGGCACAGGAGTTGTTGAATTTCTTAGAAAAGAAGATATGAGATATGCAGTTCGCAAGCTGGATGACACCAAATTCAGATCGCATGAGGTAACTTAGCGTGAACACTGATTGTAACTTATTTTACTTAATACTGAGGTATGAATGTTAATAATGCAGGTACAAATTAAGGAAAATTCATTATTATTTTTGAATGCTTCTATTTTTTGCCAATCATATCATTTATTTTTATGGAAGGACATTTTTATAGTTCAAATTTGTTAGTCTTTACAAAATTCAATGTACTGATATTTAAGAAAAAGCATAATTGGGGAACCAGTAGCAGTTAGTTTCAACTTATTTTGAAATGGTAACACTACTAAATATAAATGTAACATTTGTAATACTTCATAGGGTGAAGTGGCTTATATTCGTGTCAAGGAAGACAACCCTGGAAGAGGTTCCAGGAGTCGTAGCCCAAGTCCCAGGCGTTCAAGAGGCAGCCCACGATATTCACCAATGAGAGATAGAGAGCGTTCGTACTCTCCTTATAATTGATGCAATCAAATCCTGGAGAGCTAGGCTCAAAGACAAATAGAATACATTAAATGTCATTTTAAAATTTTAACTATTTTAAGAAAGAAAATCAGCAAACGATGCTGCTGAAAAGCAGTACAATTTCAAACTGGCAGCAATACTTTCCCCTTATATAGTCATATGTTGTTGTGCTTGAGAGTATTACATTTATTTTATTTTTTTTCAAGAAATATTCATTCCATTTCATTTCTGGCTGGAATTTCACAATACTTAAGTTTATAATTATTACATTTTTAATAAGAAGGCTCCAGACTGAAAAAGTCTTTTAGTACAACTTGTAAATACATTTGTCTCTTCTCAAGCTTAGCTACATATGATGCAGACAGTAACACTCAAAAAAAGATTAGTTCATCATTATAATACACCTTAGAATTATTAGCTTGAAAATAGACTCTACATTTTAATGTCTAAATACGTATGTATAGGCTATTTTATATGCCTAGATTAAAGGGAACTTTCTGATTTTTAAACTGCTAAAAATAATGAAATCAAACCCTTTTTATTTTTCCTTTCAAAGTTTAAATACTTAGAAGCTTTGTAATCATTTTACTTAACATTAATGTCACAGCCTCTTTAAACATTAAACAGGTACTTGATGTAACGCTGACCATGCGTTCCTCTCCTTCCTCAGAGCGCTCCTAATCAACGCATTTCAAGTTGGTCTTTATAGGACGCAGAGGAACGGAGCGCAAAGGATATGATGGGACCGGATAGGACGGGCAAGGTGGCAGTGATGGAGGCTGCATCGATGGCCATTCCACTCCTGTAGCGTTCTCCCATCATATGCCTATTAGTGCTCTAATGGAATTTTATCTATTATGGTATGCTTGAGGCTGGAGAAGTAGGATGTATTTTGTTCTCCCAGAATTCCTGTTTTGTCTGTCAATTTGAACATTTCAAATTCATTTTTGTTTTTTTTTATTTTTCTTTAATGTTGTAACTGTTTTTAATCTAAATCTCAGAAAATTCAGCCCTCAGCAACTTGATGAATGATTGCAATGTTATGTTATCCTTTGTTGTTTTTTTTTCCAAGCCAAAAATCTGTAGGTTTAGTAAACTTAAAAAACTTTAATATTGTATGCATACTATTGTTTTAGGAACATCAAAGGGAGCAAGTTTGAGTGTGCATTATTTTATGACTACTTTGCTAATGCTCTTTTCCATTTTTTCTTTCCCTGATTTAGTCACTTGCATAAGTGGATAAGGAATGGATAAAGATTGGATGGGAAGGATTCTTAAGGATTGGATAATTTTAAGGATAAAGATTGGATGGGATCATTTCATTTGGAACGTGTAGGAAAGTTGGATAATATTGGATAGGTTGCGAAGAAGTTGCTTTTGGAATGGAAAATTGACCGTAGGAAGGAAACTATACTAAGTCGCTTAACTGGAACCGTGGATAATTGGAAGGGATACTACCTGCAGTTGAAGGCAAAAAATTCACACACTGCAGTTTGGAAGGAACCATTTTGCAAAGCAATGGATGGAATTTCTTTTTTTTTTTACCTTTTTTTTTTATTTGGACCACCGATTGTTTTGTAAAATGGAGACACATAGATGAATGGAAACATCTTGGATTGGAATAAAACTATTGTGGATCAAATTTTTCCTATATGTTAAACAATACCACGGTATTCTCTGTTAGCAATTCTCCGGTTGTTTAGTGGGGAATTTTATATATATATATATAATCTTGATTGAAAGCAAAAGCAGCTTAATGTTTTGTAATTCCTATTTTTAGTCTCAAAACAATAATGTTAAACAAAACTTATCACCAAAACAATTAACCGGGATTAAGTTTGGGGTAAAGTGGTAAAGTAAAAGAAATAATCAGAGCTAAATTCATGAATGAGGTAAACAATAAATAAGCGATAGTGGGTTACATTAGATAGCTACCGGGTCGTATTATTTGTATGGTTGGTCATTGGAACTCAGGCTGGAGCTAACGTTGGAAGTATGCATGGATTGGACTTTCTCTCAAATGATCTTTCTCTCTCAGGACTTAGCTTCTCACAGCTAGCTTCTCACAGCATCATCTGAATCTAATGGCAGGCACAGTACCAGTATACGCAGGATAATTTTTCACAAAGTATCCTAAAAAATCCGGAGTGTGGCGGCAGCCTAGGATTAACCTGTAAAGTGTAAGCATTATTTAAATTTTGAAATGTTTAGCCCTGTAGGCTTTGTTTTCTTCTGTAAGTGCTGATCTATTGATGCTGTCTCTAAAAAGGTTTGTTTTATTAAACCCATTATCTTTTTAGATTCCATCTTTTTAATGGTTTTAATTACCTTTTATTACCACTGTTAAGTTTTACAAACAGGCGAATTGTTTTATGTTGCAAAGAGTGTAAATTTCTTGTTTAAGGAATTATACCAGTATGGTTGAATGTTGTTTAAAAAAAAAAGGTTACAAGCTGAGGCAAAGTTATTGCGATCATATACCGGTACAGATATGTTCCTTAAAATGTTCTCCAATGGAACTATTATTTTTTTTTTAAGAACATCATTTGATATCAATTATTTAGGTTTGGGGAAAGTGACAGGTTCTAGGTTTTGGTAAAATATTTGTTTTATGCTGCTGAATAAGTTTTCCACACTAAAGCTTGGCAATGACTCTTCTTTTTATTTTCATATCTGTGTTCAGTAAGATGTCAAGGGCAGTGTGTTCTTCCCTTTAAAAAAATGTTAGCCATGCTAAATATATTTTATGTAATGATTTTTGTGTTGAACTCTCAGCACTTTAATTGATATTTTTATATTCTATGTTCTGTTGTAGGGGTAATAAAATTGCTGCTTTATTAGAAATGTATTGAAGTATTGCTTTGTTCATTACTTGGTTTGTTCTCATATCAATAGCATTGACATGTGCTGACTTTCTTAATTTTTGTGTTGCTTTCCTCATTCAGTCATTCTCACTCATAATGGTTTCAGTTCTCAATTATAAACTGATGTGTCCATTGAAAAAAAAATAATAATAATTTTTAAATAGCCTCACGCACAGCTGGATCCCACTAGACGCGCAACGCGAGTAGTTTTTGTATACCCGTACTTAAATATATACCGGTACTGTATGTTTATTTATTTACTGTGGTATTAATAATCATTAAGATACTGTATTGTACGTTTTTGTGACGATATTGTACAATTTTAGGAGTTTAAGGGTAAACAGGTCTGTTTGTTGTAAAATGAATAGCTGTACTATGGCTTCAACTCGAGCTATTTTGACAAGATTTGCCAGTTACTCCTTAGATGTTAGAAGTAATGGTTCTAAGTAAAATACATTTTTTTTTTTTTAAATGGGGGAAAAACTTCAGATGTGCCCTACTGGGTAGGTTGGATTTAAGTGTTTCTTCCAGGCATCTCTCAAAGTCAACCGGAGAAAAATCGGTACCGGTAATATGCCAAAATGTGATGATATAATTTAATTGTAGGCTCTAGCTATGCCTGTGAACTATTAAAGTTAAGTTTGGTTAGTGAAATGGTGGAACCAATGATATTTCACTACACTTGACATATTTAAATTTGCCGATGATCCAAATATTTAAGTTTAAGGCAATTCAATTAACCTGTACATTGTATGTGTGTTGAGAGGAGCTATAGCTTGCCATGGTAGTGGTAGCCAGTAGGCCTATATCTAATTTTCCTCTGATAAATGCATTGCCCTGTTTATCAGAGCTAGGGTTAGTGACACCCTGGGCTAGCCCTCTTTCATCATAAAAACTCTTCATTTGGCCGAATATGCCCCACCTCCCTAAATTCATAAAAAAATTAAAAAAATACCACTCCTCCGGCACCGCCCAACTACCAACCCCCCCCCCCCCCACTTTTTTTTTTTTTTTTTTGTCGTTTTTTTTGTTGTTTTTTTTTT